GGATCTATTATTGGAATGTCTTTGGGTGATGCTCTTGGTGCTCATGTAGAGTTTAGACCACGAAAGTTTCTTCTGGAACATCCAGTAGAAGATCTTGAAGGAGGAGGAACATGGGGCTTAGAAAAAGGGCAGGTAATGTGTTGAAAAACAGAAGTAACTAATCATGAAATCTGTTTATTTAGTTTGTTTTTACACTTTTTCCTAGAGAATGTTTCAATAGAAGATTTTGTAGAAATTTTATAAAATATAAATCATGTAACCGTATATTTATTTTAGTTCACAGATGATACATCCATGGCTTTATGCTTGGCAATTTCCTTAGTGAATCGTCATGATTTCGTTCTTTATGATCAGTTAGTTCGCTATAAATTGTGGTATAAAAATGGGTATATGTCATCGACAGGATCATGTTTTGATATTGGTGCAGCTACTAAACAATCGATATGCGAGTTTGAACGTCGTCAAAAACAATTTATGACAAAATATAACATTTCTCTTGATCAAATAGACTTTCTCTCAGACTCTGATCTACTCAAAAACTTTGATGTGTATTGCAGTGAAGACGGTGTAGCTGGAAATGGAGCGTTGATGCGATTGGCACCTGTACCTCTTTTTTTCTATAAGTTTCCAAAATATGCCGTCGAATTGTCTGGTCTAAGCGGCATGATTACTCATGGTGATCGAAAAGCGTATGATGCTTGTCGTTATTATGGTGCTTTAATCGTGGCTGCTCTTCGTAATGAAACAAAAGAACAGTTACTTGACAATCACTTTTATTCTAAACATGAAGAATGGTTCAGTAATAATCTACTCTGCCCAGAGATTATGAATATTGCTGAAGGATCATACAAGCGGAAAGGTGGATATGATGAAGGTATTCGAGGCAAAGGATATATTGTTGATGCACTCGAAGCTGCTTTGTGGGCTTTTTGGTGTGATGGAGATTCTTTTGAAAAAGGAGCACTCGCCGCAGTTAATCTCGGCGATGATACTGATACAACAGCTGCTATTTATGGTCAATTGGCTGGTGCCTACTATGGCTATGAAAAGCTTCCTCAGAAATGGATAAAGTTCGTCTATGCTAAAAAATTTATGGACTGTTTGAGTAAGTGGATTGCGTATGAAGGAGAAAAATGGCAACCAAAGTTGTCCATTGTGTATAACGATATAAAAACACAAAATATGACTTTGTCATCTGGTAGCCATGCTTCTGAAGCATCAGCTTCACAGAATAAACCAAGCGAATCAGAAAAAGAACTACAACAAAACAGAATGACTGCAAATAAAAAGCCATCCACAATAATACAGACAACAGCTTCAAGAAAACTACCATCTAGTAACAGCACTACAACAAATAAAAATAGAAACTATGCAATAGATACGAGAACGATGGACTCACCTCAACGATCGCAAAGAGCACAAACTAATTCACAAGTTCTTCCTAAGTCCAATATTCCACCTCAAATGAGCACTAAAAAACCTACCTACACATCAAAAAAGCCTTGAATTAGATAAACAATAATTACTATATATTTGTGTATTGTTTTTTAAAGGTTACTAGTGTGATTTTCCATGAAAAAACTGTATTCGATTCATATTATATTATTTTTTTTATTACTATATTGGAAATAAACCAGAATATAATATTTTTTTACATACTATTCAATAGTTCTTGTCATAACATTTATACTTCTTATATGAATATCTTCAAAAGAACGACGATGCTTCTATTTATCTGATACAATGTATATGACGAAACTTTCATTTAATATAAAAATACATTACTGGCGAGGAAAACTATTGAACGGTCTAATCACTTTTTCAATAAAATCTTTTGAATTCGAGGTTATAGATCATGCTCATTCCAAGTATGGGCATGAGAAATTTTATTACGTCGTTATCCAGGATGGGGGTAATTCATAGAGGGTGTGGGTGTAAATGTGAGCGGGTGTGACTATAAATATTATATTTTTTTGTAATTAACACATACATCTGCACAAACCTCACTCACACCCACACCGATCCACACCCACACCCGCACCCCGGATTGATCTTTTAGAAGAGACCAGACTTTTTTTATTATATTTGCGCTTAAATTTCCTGTGCTTACCTTTCCTGTGCTCATCGTTCACAAACCCGCGTTCGTTTTTCATATTCCAGGAAAAATGGTGGTAATTTATAAATGTACATTAGTTTTTATTTTTAAACTCGGCAGTATTAAAAGTATAGTATCCTCTTCTTATTGCTTAACTCGAGATATTTACCGAGAAATGTAATTGAAAGATCTCATTATGATTAACTAACGATAGAAATGATTTTTATTGATTGAAATGAAGATTTCTTTATCAACGTTATTTATTATTTTCTAATAATTTATTCATCGTATTTTAATGAACAATAATGTTGAGAAACAAAAACGCCGGTCTGTCATTTTTAATCAAAGCTAAATATATCTATCTTAATAAGACTTTTGCCATGACTTCAAAGAACTTCTTTTTCTTTCCTTTATCAAATTACCCAAAAAAAAAACTTTGTGGAAATATGCACTTAAACACCCACGATTATTCACGTGCTCACCTTTTCTCGTATTTATGATTATAATGCTAAGTCAACACGCTATAGTATGTCAAAGATATAAAATGAATTATCAGACATAATTATTGTCTTTTCAAATCTTATTTAAAAACATTTGCTCTGTTAGATGACATTATATTTTGATTATAAATACAAAAATATTCAAGTTTTATTCTTTTAGAATACAAATAAATCATGAATATAACAGATTTACCTTTTATACAACAAAAAATGATTCGATATGGAATGACAATTTATTTTGCATTAGGTATTATTGGTAATATTTTTAATTGTATTATATTTACTCAATCTACATATCGTCGTACACCTAGTTCAATTTATTTTCTATCACTTTCGATTGTTTCTATTATCTATTTAATATGGCTTATGTTTCCAATTTTTTATTCACTTGATCATTCTGATCTTCAAACAAAATCATTATTCTATTGTAAAACGAGACTGTATGTTGGTCATTGTTTAGGTCAATGTATTCGCTATATTGTTGTATTCGCTTGTATTGATCGATATATTATTACACAAACAAATTTTCATATTCGTTCATTAAGTTCAATTCAAATAGCAGTAAAGATTGTTTTTACTATAAGTTTAATATGGTTTATTATTGGTATACATGTACCTATTTTAATGTCTATAAGAGAAAATGTTTGTGGAATGTTTGATTTATATAAATTAATTTATGCAATCTATCAAATTATTCTAGTTGGTCTTCTACCACCGATATTAATGATTATTTTCAGTTCTTTAACTATTCGTACTCTTCAATATCGACATGCTGCTCAAATACGTATTAGAAAAAGAGATCGATATCTTATGCGTATGTTAATTGCTGAAGTTATAATAAATATTGTTACATCAATTCCATATTCAACTAATCTTGTCTATGGAGCAATTACATATTATGTTGTTAGTAAAAGTTCGAAACGATTAGAAATTGAAACATTCATTACTTTCGTTACTCAATTTCTTATTTATCTCATTGGTGTTGCACCTTTTTATCTATTTATTTCAACAGCAAAACCATTTAGAAAAAGATTTATTAATCTATTACGACATGTTCGAGTTTTTCCAAGAAACGAACTACATACGACAGGTTAATGATCAATGGATAAAAATACATGAACATTTTCGTCCTTAATAGATCGCGTGTTTATTATCTTGGCAAGATATTTTTTCCTACAGAAGTTCTATAGACATTCAATATGTACCTGTAAACTATGAGAAAGATTTAGATTACACTCGACAGATGTGCATGTCTCCTATTTATTTTGTACTTTCATTCAAAAATATTTACATAATTAAATAGAATCTGCCGTCAGATTGAATATACTATTATTTTAAAAATAAGAAAGAATGATGGAAATCAAGACAAATGATTATTAAATAAGTGAAAGACATTTCTTTTCTATCTGCAGCAATTTAAATTGTTATTCGTAAGATTGATCATCATAAACATAATTCTAGGAAAGATACTTGTCTCACAATCATTTGATTTGACTTTTGTGTATAGAAACACAAAGTATAATATTCTGAAAATTAACTGAAAAAGAGGAATCAATTGATAAAGATAAAAAGTATGTTGATAATAACATGCTATTCCATAATTCGTCGACGTCTATGTATCTTTTGCAACATTATATATTACGAATAATCATTCGTTTTTCGATGCAATGTGAATGAGCATACTAATTTGGGTGAGGACCTGAATATAAATTTGAGTAGATAAATGAGAATGATTAAGACCTGGCTACATTTGTCTCTCACAGGTATATACATTCATGTTCACTTGTGCAATGACTGATTAAAGAAAATTAATAGCCAATTAACGGAATTTAGCTACACAATCGAAAAGACTTGAAATAAAACCTGATGTAATTTTTAACATTTCGCAATCATTGCAACATCCTCAGAAATATTTAACTAGCTTACTTGCTAGAGATGCTGTTGTATAAGAAATAAGAAGATATTCGAGTAACTATTGTTATTATAAATTATGCAGTTGAAAAAAACTGTATCGAACGAAGCCAATTGGTAAGGTTGAGGATGAATGATGAATTCAAATATCCTGCATTTCTACATTCACAGGCATGGTTTCAATTGGACTGAAACATTTTCAGAATGCTTCTGGTGTTACATTAATCTTACTTTGGTACCCATACCCACACCCACACATCCGCACCCTCAAAACGAAATGCACTATTGAAAATAATTATCTAAAAGAAAAACAATAACTTTCTCACTGCTCAAGTATAGTCAACAGAAGGAGAAAAACATTGTAAATGTACATGCTCTCGTTTTTTCTTTGTTACATATTAAAATACGAAAAATAATTCTTTGTATTGAAATTGAGGACAAAGTTCGAATGGTTATCTAATCAAATTTTACTTAAATCATTTAAATATCTTGATGATATGGAATTATTTTGTGCTTATTAAAGTCTTAATTTTCGTCTTGACACACTTCTTTCAATACATTGTCAATCAATATCTAAACAAAAATTTCATCCTATATGTTAACGACATCTTCCATATATAGTTGAACAAGTTAAATCATTATATCTACGAAATGATGATGAAACACCAAATTTACTAGAAATATTTTACTCTTTTATATCAGTTTTTTTAGACAAAAATAGTACAAATATCAAATGAAAATAACTCTAAAAGATTCTTAATACACATATAAGTCATATTAGATATTAACCTTATCTCCAACAAATATTAGTGATTAATTCAATAGAATATAAAACAATAAATTTCAAATAGTTTTATTATTAGTTCTTATATATAACGAAAACCAGAGCTTTCAGCACATCAAGTGCCATCGTCAGTAATAAAAATTAAATAATAATACTGTAATGCAATAATAATGAACTACAATTGTATATACCACTGAATAAATACAAGTAACAAATGCACAATTAATAGAACACATTATATATAAGAACTAATAATAAAACTATTTCAAATTTATTGTTTTATATTAATTTTGTTAAGATCTGTTACATTATTGTCATCATTCAATAGAATTATTCTTAATATTGATATCATACAACTACAATCATCTATTACAAAATACAATCAGCTTTATTCTTAGATAATCAATAAAAATATGCAACTAACTTTATAAAAAGAAACACTTAATTTCGTTTCCTAATCATAAGTAATAATTCATTTTTATCGATGTTTTGTAATAATGATTTTATTTTATATCTGAAGCGGAGAAAGAGATATTTCAATATCTTTTCTATTTGTTCGGAAAAACCACATATCTCTAAATGACTGTACAGACGTTATACTCAAAAAAAAATGACATACAAGTGTAAATGTGTTAAACTAAAAATGAATACTCATACTCCTCTCCACATCATCATAACTCTAGAAAAATCTTGTTTATGAATAAATTTTATGTCCAACTCGCATTCATGTACATTCATAATCTGAGTGAAAAAGAACTCTCTCTTACAAGTATTCATCCATCTGTCGATTAAAATACAGACATGTACTATTATTTTAAACTTTTTTTTCATCAGTTGAAAATGAAAAAAGAAACAATCGCAGCCATTCGTTTTTGAAGAGAGAGAAACAAAAAAAAAGAGAAAAGAATTTAATGCAGTAGAGATGAAAAGAAAAAAAATACCTCGAAAAAATAACTCGTTCTTTACTTTTTTAAAAAAGATCGGTCGATGTTTAGAAATATTTCAATCAAGATTTACAAGGTAATTAGGACGAAATTTTATTATTGAATTTATCTCTAAATCTGATGAAGAAGAAAAGAAAATGTAATATGAGATAGACATTTAGACCATTAAATCGATTTTTCGAGATTTTGAATACATTTTATAGATTTCATTGGAATTACTAAAGTATTGCATTTGAACATATTCTAAATGTTATTTTATATTGAATATCCGTCAAATCACTGGTAATAAAAGAATACCACTATTTTATTAGTCTAATTTATATTAATTGATACAATCTTATTTTATGATCTATAATATATATTTAAATGTACTTTTTAGTTGTTTCGTAATTAGTAGCTCTATGGAATTTATTCAAAAGTATCTTACCTATTGCAATTAGAGTACATTAATTAAATATAGTTATCATTGAAGAAATATTTCTACACAATGTTATTAAGAAGATTAACAATATTCTATTCACGACATACTTATCTTTCTATATTTATCTCTATCATATTTATTTTATATTTCACAATTCTTTCAATCAAATATCATCCATCATTCAAAATCAATTCTATTTCATTAACACAATCCAAGAATTATATTGCATTACCATTGTCTTTCTCTTCACATTATTCTTTAAATAATCAAAATAATCTATTTAATACTTTATACAGTTCTTTTCAATGTTTAAATGGTAATCCAAGTGATTTAAATACTGACAATCTTTGGCATGAAAGAGTTTGTATGTTTCATAATGTTTGTTTAAGAAAAGATGGATTCAATGAGAATTATTTTATTGATTATTT